CGGTGACATGAGCGTAAACAAACAGTGCAGCCCTCTACGGACACCTTGGCAATTGAATCGCTCAACTTTTATTTTGGCAGAAACCCGCAGGAAGACCTCAGTGCTTCTTTTTGTTGACATGATTCTCATTACGAATTTGGGAAGACGTTTGTTGCACGTATCGCATTGTCACATGCCTTGTAAAAATTCATAAAAATGTTACTGAGCATCTGATGAGTAACAGTTTCAGTGCAGATTTCCCTCGCGCTTTGGACTTTGAACCCTGCCGCCGCGAGCTCATGCAGCGCTGTTTGAACACGTGCAATTCCTGCATGTATTAGAAAACAACATTCTGCAGTTTATTTGTTTAAGGGCATTTCGCGATTTTAATCATCATACAGTAACCAGCAACGACCACCCTTCCTCTTCTCATCGAAGACATGCGATGCAGTACTAAACAGTCTCTCGCTGTCGGTGCTTGTAATGATTTTTGCGTCTTTCTCTGACAGTTTTAAGTGCTTCCACACTGCCGTCATGTTTGCTGCATTAGCGCACACCTCTATTTGATCACGTCACGTCATTGTTCGGTACAATTTATTCGGTCTTTTCGCTATTTTCAGCCGAATAATTTCGGTTGCCGAACATTCGGTGCATCCCTAGGTAAAATAGTTTTTATTTGGCCTTTTTTCACTCTGTCTAAAAACCATAGCGCCACAAAATTTCCTCCATTGTAAAAATCCACCTAGCAGGACCGATACCATTGTCTCTCTTTCATTTTGTTATGTTTGAAAGCATGTACGAAGGCCTGTCGGCCTGTGTCACAATTCTTCTTTTAGTATTTAAATCTTTAAATGGTCTGGCCCCTCCTTACCTTTCGGATTTACTGACAGAACATCGTCCAGTTGTGTCTCTCCAGTCGTCTAATCAGAGATTACTACGTATTCCGAAATCAAAGCTGAAAAGTAGGGGTGACCGTGCCTTTTCAGTAGCTGCTCCCAGATTGTGGAATGCACTACCCTCCAATTTTAGATTTGCTCCAACCATATTGGTTTTTAAATTTAGGTTAAAAACTTACCTTTTTGAACTGGCATATGGTCAGTAATGAAATGTATTGCACTGTGTGTTTTTGCTTTTATAGTTTTCTTAATTATATATTAATATTTGTACTTTCTCTTGTATTGGTGTAAAGCACTCTGGTCAACTGTTGTTGTGTTTAGTTGTGCTATAGAAATAAAATTGACATTGACATTGACATCGTTGTGGATGATGGAAAAAATAAACATGCTAGTCTTTCTGTGTTAAGGTCTTGAAGCACCGCAGACGTGACATTGGTTGTCGTCCACTATGACACACTTCACGAGATGAATCGATTGAATCTTGCATCCCGACGCCCATTGTCGTTTACGAATCCCCACGACACCCTACGTCAAGCAGATCGTGCCAAAATTGGGCTAAAATCGTGTAGTCTGAACTGGGCTTTACACTGCCATTCAAAAGATTTTTAAAATGTTTTTAAAAAGTTTATGCTCACCAATGCTGCATTTAATTGAACAAAAATGCAGTTGTAACACTCCAAAGAGAAAGGAAAAATTAAAATCGCATCATATGACCCCTTTAAAAAATTGCACATCCTGCCAAATGTTGCTCCCCAAACAAATGTGTAAATTGACAGCTTGGAATTACCCTTTTGACAGGTGAATCGAGCTGTAAATATGTCTTAGCCATTGTTGTTTATCTATGACAGTGTGGTCACTTAACAGTTTTACCCTGCATAACTATGTAAACTGCACCTGTAACTAAAATGTGATTTTTGTTCCTCATATTTTCAGTCTGTTTACTTGGTACAAGGAATTGATGCCACGTGGTGTTTTGAAGAAGAAAGCTTAATAGCATCTTAGACAAACCAGTTGGTACATTTTTGTACCGAGATAAGCCATTAGGTGACTCGCGTGTTGAAACAGATATGGTCTTCGAAGACAGTATGTCCTTGATTCAAGTCACTCACGTCACTGAGGCTATATCAAGGTCATTATCTTACTATTCTAACTATGTATTATCTTCCTAATGAAGGTAGTGCCTGGTGGCTTTAAGCCATTTTCACTGGCTCTAAGATTTGGTTTTATTCATTTTGGACGTTGGGCTGTCATGATTAATCAATTTAACTTGAGTACTCAGTTTTTAAAAGTCCTTGATTACAATTAAAAGTAATCAGTAAAGTAATTTCTTGATTAATAGTCACGATAATCGTCCGATTTCTGGAATAATCAATAATGACAGTCCTAATAGGAAGTCCTGAGTTATGTCTCAGTAAAGATACGACCTGTTGAGAAGTTGAGACTCAATGCCTTGTTATTGTGATGTTGCAGATAAACATAATACATAGGGCTGGGTAAAAAATATCGATATCTCAATATTAATCGATTCTCATTTTTATGGAACGATATCGATTCTTAAATCCCAAGAATCGATTAGTCTAGCCTGTTTTCAGCTAATGGACGGAACACTGAAGGGCACTTACCATCCAATATATCGCAATAAGCATTGTGCTTTGGTACTTCTAATATGAAACTCTCAGATCTCAGACAAGTCTCTGATTTCAAATTCTGTCCATTGTATTGCAGTATTCAACTATAAATGCTGTTTTGGCGCTGTTTAATGTGGAGTGATAGATCGCTGTAGCGCCTCAGTTCAATAAAAGCGGCAGCACGAGGCGCACTTGAACTAATCATCTTCTCCACATTAATACCAGTTTCAGCACAAAATAAACATGACTAAACATCCAAAGGCAAGTTAAAAGAGTACAACTTTCTTTATAATCCGTATCCTGTCTCATGTAATCACTCAATCAGTGTTTCAGCTGCGCAAAGACGTCAATATAACGGCTTGTAAACAATGTCAC